AGAGCGAAATAAAATGTCATATTAAGTGCATCTGTGTCCCTTTTCCTAAAATTTCGTCGGGAATTTTCCAAAATTTTCTAAATTAAAATTTATCCCCGACTCAGTCTACACTGGGTGAAAGAGATAGGAAGCAGGCATTAACCGGGGCTTAATTAACGGTGAAGGGCCACCATTACTGGGGTCCCGAAGCATCTAAGTCTCTTCACGTACACAAGATCTCTTCAAAAACCAAGACTATAAACCCGTAGTTTAAAAAGCAGTTTCTACCCTTGGGTTATTGTCTTTTTTAGATTCAGACAGTACTGACCAAGACTTTAGTAAATTTAAAGTTTGCGGGTCAGTCCCCCGGGCTATTATACTTCTGAAAACTTTTTCTGCCCCCACGGGTGGGTATGGGGTGCATAATAAGACTTTTTGCTAACATTACTTAAAGAAACATTTTTTTTTCCCTTTCCCGGGGGAATAATGGGTGTTTCTCATGATGAAAACTGGAGTGTACAACAGCTTCACAGGTTTTTTTTAGGGGCACAGGTGGCTGTGTGGGACGTACTGTGCCTCTCTCCCAGCGCCCACTCTCAAACTGTCGAAAAATATCATAAAATTTCTCCGACCGGACATGGAGATTTTAAAGATGGTGACCATGTTTGGGTACATCGTCATTGAAAAAATATTGACATGTTAAAGAATTATGTATGTAATAGATTCCCTTAACCTCAGCGAGACTACTGCAACAATTAAAAATCGCCTTAACTTTTTTTCTTGTTAAAAATTATTTGAAGAAAAAAATATGAAAATCTGCTTTTTTACTTTCACACCAACAGGGGGTTTTTTAAAAAAAAATTAGTATTATAAAACACAAAATTATTATTTAATAGGGCCCCCTCTTTAATAAAAAGTCTTTGAAGTAAATACTTATATTTAAGCTGACAAACAACCATTAAACTAATAATGTTTTTTTTAACTCGGAAAGGGTAGCCGTTCATGAACAGTGGAAAAAATTTCTTATCATCCTGTAATTTTCATGAAGCAGTTTATTTTTAAAAACATATTTACGAACAGAGCTTACTCGGACCAAACATCACACCAAACCCCTCCTTACACCTGACCCCTCCTTACATCCACTTTCCTTAACCAACCTCTCCCCACACTGACTTTTCCTTACACCACATCTCCTCACATCGACTTCTCTTAAACCCGACCCTTCTCAAAACACTTTCCCTTTCACCTGACATCTCCTCAATCTGACTTCTCCTTCACCGACACTCCTCACATTGACTTCTCCTTACAAAATGCATCTCCTCACATCTGATTCTCCTTACACCGACTTCCTCACTTGATTCTCCTTACACTACCTCCCTCCATTGACTTTCCTTACACCTGACCTTCTCAATCCGACTTCTCCTTACACCAGACCTCTCCTCACATCTGACTTCTCCTTACACCTGACATCTCCTCACATCTGACTTCTCCTTAACACCTGACCTCTCCTCACATCTGACTTCTCCTTACACCTGACCTCTCCTCACATCTGACTTCTCCTTACACCTGACCTCTCCTCACATCCGACTTCTCCTTACACCAGACCTCTCCTCACATCTGACTTCTCCTTACACCTGACCTCTCCTCACATTTGACTTCTCCTTACACCTGACATCTCCTCACATCTGACTTCTCCTTACACCTGTCCTCTCCTCACATCTGACTTCTCCTTACACCTGACCTCTCCTTACACCTGATCCCTCCTCACATCTGACTTCTCTTTACACCTTACCTCTCCTTACACCTGACCTCTCCTTACACCTGACCTTTCCTTACACCTGACCCCTTCTCACATCTGACTTCTCTTTACACCTGACCTCTCCTTACACCTAACCTCTCCTTACACCTGACCTCTCCTTACACCTAACCTCTCCTTACACCTGACCTCTCCTTACACCTGACCTCTCCTTATACCTGACCTCTCCTTACACTTGACCTCTCCTTACACCTGACTCCTCCTTATACCTGACCTCTCCTTACACCTGACCTCTCCTTATACCTGACCTCTCCTTACACTTGACCTCTCCTTACACCTGACTCCTCCTTATACCTGACCTCTCCTTACACCTGACCTCTCCTTATACCTGACCTCTCCTTACACCTGACCTCTCCTTATACCTGACCTCTCCTTACACTTGACCTCTCCTTACACCTGACTCCTCCTTATACCTGACCTCTCCTTACACCTGACTCCTCCTTATACCTGACCTCTCCTTACACCTGACCTCTCCTTATACCTGACCTCTCCTTACACTTGACCTCTCCTTACACCTGACTCCCCTTATACCTGACCTCTCCTTACACCTGACCTCTCCTTATACCTGACCTCTCCTTACACCTGACCTCTCCTTATACCTGACCTCTCCTTACACTTGACCTCTCCTTACACCTGACTCCTCCTTATACCTGACCTCTCCTTACACCTGACCTCTCCTTACACCTGACCTCTCCTTATACCTGACCTCTCCTTACACTTGACCTCTCCTTACACCTGACTCCTCCTTATACCTGACCTCTCCTTAACACCTGACCTCTCCTTACACCAGACCTCTCCTTATACCTGACCTCTCCTTACACCTGACCTCTCCTTACACCTGATTTCTCCTAATACCTGACCTCTCCTTACACCTGACCTCTCCTTACACCTGACCTCTCCTTACACCTGACCTCTCCTTACACCTGACTTCTCCTAATACCTGCTGTTCAATGAATAAAGTTTTCAATAACTGCCTTTGTGTTTCTATCATCTTTTACTCAACATACGAGTGGAGAAGCACTACAGTTGGTCTACTGATCCATGCTAGGGAGTCTACTCATATCCAACCCGTCTTATTACACGAAGTAGACGACTCTGTCTACTCATATCCAACCCGGCTGTCTACTCGTTCCCAACCTGTGTTCCTGGGTCACGCCTAACATACCTCCGCTATATATATATATATTATATATATATATTATATATTATATATATATATATATATATATATATATATATATATATATATATATATATATATATACATATATATATATATATATATATATATATAATATATATATATATATATATATATATATATATATATATATATATATATATATATATATATATATATATTACCTCTGTATTAGAATTGAAAATAAAAAACACCCTTGACCAAACGTCTCCTTCAATAAATGTCTTAAATGTGAATGTATCTTATTTACACAGCTCTCCTTCGAGGAAGCTGCAGCCACTGTCTCGTGAGGCACAACTACGAGGATTTTTGTGTGCAGTAAAGGAAGCTGGTGTTATGAGACACAAGGGATACCTCCCTCAGACCACAGAAGTACAGGGGGCTGGTGTTATGGGATACCTCCCTCGGACCACTGAGGTACAGGGGGCTGGTGTTATGGGATACCTCCCTCGGACCACTGAGGTACAGGGGGCTGGTGTTATGGGATACCTCCCTCGGACCACTGAGGTACAGGGGGCTGGTATTATGAGATACCTCCCTGGACCATGAGTACAGGGGCTGGTGTTTATGGGGATACCTCCCTCGGACCACAGAGGTACATGGGGCTGGTGTTATGTGATACCTCCCTCGGACCACTGAGGTACATGGGGCTGGTGTTATGGGATACCTCCCTCTGACCACTGAGGTACAGGGGGCTGGTATTATGGGATACCTCTCTCGGACAACAGAAGTACAGGGGGCTGGTGTTATGGGATACCTCCCTCGGACCACTGAGGTACAGGGGGCTGGTGTTATGGGATACCTCCCTCGGACCACAGAGGTACATGGGGCTGGTGTTATGGGATACCTCCCTCGGACCACTGAGGTACATGGGGCTGGTGTTATGGGATACCTCCCTCGGACCACTGAGGTACAGGGGGCTGGTATTATGGGATACCTCCCTCGGACCACTGAGGTACAGGGGGCTGGTGTTATGGGATACCTCCCTCGGACCACTGAGGTACAGGGGGCTGGTGTTATGGGATACCTCCCTCGGACCACTGAGGTACAGGGGGCTGGTATTATGAGATACCTCCCTCGGACCACTGAGGTACAGGGGGCTGGTGTTATGGGATACCTCCCTCGGACCACAGAGGTACATGGGGCTGGTGTTATGGGATACCTCCCTCGGACCACTGAGGTACATGGGGCTGGTGTTATGGGATACCTCCCTCTGACCACTGAGGTACAGGGGGCTGGTGTTATGGGATACCTCCTTCGGACCACAGAAGTACAGGAGGCTGGTGTTATGGGATACCTCCCTCGGACCACTGAGGTACAGGGGGCTGGTGTTATGGGATACCTCCCTCGGAGCACTGAGGTACAGGGGGCTGGTGTTATGGGATACCTCCCTCGGACCAGTGAGGTACAGGGGGCTGGTGTTATGGGATACCTCCCTCGGACCAGTGAGGTACATGGGACTGGTGTTATGGGATACCTCCCTCGGACCAGTGAGGTACATGGGGCTGGTGTTATGGGATACCTCCCTCGGACCAGTGAGGTACATGGGGCTGGTGTTATGGGATACCTCCCTCGGACCAGTGAGGTACAGGGGGCTGGTGTTATGGGATACCTCCCTCGGATCACAGAAGTACAGGAGGCTGGTGTAATGGGATACCTCTCTCTGGACTACAGTAGGTCTAATTCCGTGGATCAAGAGCCCCTTACCGGCATCAAGGAACCTCTCTTAAATTACAGAGAGCAGATAATGAAAATGTTGATTTCCTTGCAAGCTTACATTGTTTACATATTACAAAATATTAATTACAAAGAAAGCTGCTAGCATGCCTAGGCATTTCTGGCAGCCTCACCCTGGAAGCTGAGGGACTGACCACCTCAAATACTTTTCCTTCAAGGTCAATGGACTAATTACATCATCTTTATTTCATTACTATTGCTGCCTCTGTATTTGACTGAAGAAGCCTACTGTGTAGGTGAAACGTTTCATCAGTAAAGATACCCAACTGTTGCACTTGTGTCTTAATCTTGAACTTACCAGTAGTTTAAATAATTTTCAACAATACAGCTTGTGCTGTGTTGGCCCTTAATATAAACAACAACAATAAAATTGTTGGTTTCAATTTTCAAAGTTTGTGAGTGTGAGTTGTACTGTTGTATATTACAAGTGTTGCTGCTGCCACCACCACCAGGAACCTGCCTTAGTGATGTAAATGGTGTTAGTAAACCGATAAGTTGAAGAATGTGATACTTGTGCAACATTTGGGAGTCTAATGTGGACACGTTTCTCCAGCGAGTGGTTTCTTCAGTCCGGATTTTCTCTGTTTTAGACTGATGAAGTCACTGGCTGGCGAAACGTTTCCAGAATAAAGATGCCCAAGCTTTGCATAAGTGTCGAAATAATATAAAAGAGTTATAATCATAAATAATATTTAAATGGATAGAGGGATAAGCCAGCGGAAGGCCTCGGTCAGATGACCAAAATCGCCAGCTGTGGGTCATCATATAACTAAGACCCACGTCAGGAAACACTTGTCCTGTTTCCTGACAAACATTATACCTACCCTAAGTGTCTCATTCTTCAACCTTTCTCAAGGTGAACTATGACATTCATGTATGGGTTAGTTGTGTGGGCCTTGATATTATTTGTACAGTAATTTTGAAATAAAGATTTGTATTTGTATAAGGGAGGTGCCTTGATGCTCGTGATGGGGTCTTGATCTGAGGAACTGGATCTATGATATCCTCTGCCTTTGAGCGACTCTGATGCTTCTCATCCCCCCAGGCACTGTTTGATTCCTATGAGACACACTCCTCACACTGAATGTCCATGGTTGAATCCCTGGCATGGGTGGAAACATTGGGCATATTTCCTTACACCTGCTGTTCCTATTCACCTAGCAGTACTCTCATCGACACCATGCCTAACCCTTCTAGGGTAGGGTAGGTGCCTGTGCCCAAGCCTTTAGCTCATAAGACTGTCATTCCCATTTACCCCCTTGGGGCGGGGATGGCAGACCAGAGAGGCCTAGCTTGTGGCTAGGCCTGGGGACAGTTGGTCCCAAAGATGAGGAGGTACTTGTGCCTCCTCCCATGGGAGACTTAGGTCTCAGACACTACCTAAAGAGGGAGCCAAGGCCGGGCCACCACTTGGAAAAGGCCCGGGCCGGGAGAATACCGGCTAATCTTTAAAAAAAAAAAAAAAAACTAGCAGTAAGTAGGTACATGGGTTTTAGTTGGTGTGGGTTTGCATCCCGGGGGAAAAATTAAAGGACCACAATGAAAATAGGACAGTCCTTGATGACGCACTGACTCCCTTTCTTGGGTTATCTTGGGTGGCTAACCCTTCTAGTTAAAAATTCAAACAAAATCTCCCAGTACTCCCCAGTGAATGTAATATTAATGTCATGTGTGGGGAATAATAGGAATGAATGAATGAGACTGATGAATCTCGATCCAACTTTGGCAGGGTCAATATTTAAAATATATTTCCTACACTGATGTACAGAGTTAGTTATTTTTTCTATGTATTATGTACCATTACTGTTGGTAGAGCATTCAGCTCACAGTCAGAAAGGTCAGTTCATCCTTATTTGAGGAGAGACATACAGGTATTCCCTCTTAACACCTTTCCCAGAAGAAGCCATTCATGGCAAAATGTTTCCTCAATAAATTATCCTAGGACTGTATGTGTGTCTTATTTCACATTTTCAGTATTTTATATCATCTGTTGACCACCTGCTTCTCTTGTTCAGCTATCCATAAATAGATATCAAAATAAATGCCAAGCCCAATCACTTATTTACTATGTGCCAATGTAAGTTAATTCATTGCCAACATAAAGTAAAGTCATTGACTTGTTTTTAATTGCAACTGTTTCAAGGTCTACTGTAATACTTTGATGATGACTTCGGAAGCTTCGGCCAACTTGGCCAACCAGAGAGTGTATTGGCTCTTTAGTATTTTTTTTTATTGTTTGATTGGTGTAACATAACATTTTAAGGACAAACTTAAGTTATTATTTTTATAATCATAAGAATGTACTAGACCTGTAAGTGTCATTCAACATTGGGACTGAAGGAAGCTAAATCTAAAACCTATGAACCTTAGATTATTTTCTGTCTGTGCTACACTGCTGATAATATTCTTATGTATTTATTTTTTATTTCAGATCTATGTCATACAAAGGAAAGTGAATTGTTGAGAACAGTCTTCCTTCCATAGGATAATTAGAAGGCAGTCTTAAGTATGGATAAGTTTGTCATTCGCAGACCAAGAGGCTCACCAGTAGTAAGTCCTACGAAAAAGGGCTCCCATTTGAAGCAAGCAACTATTGAATCACTTAAGGTATTTCTCAAATCTCATAAAAAAATAAATTGCATTGTAACTAGTTTATTTTTGTTTCTTATGAGGATCTTATGCGGTGTGATGGAGAACATTGCACATGTCTTACTCATCAGCTTGTCATTATTTTATACCATTTTCAACAGAATGTAGATTAAATGGTCAATCAGTTTGACCTTGGAGTAGGGTTGGAAGATGTGGCAGAGATTTTAGACTCTCATACCGACATTTTCTCCAACAAAGATCTTATGGAATTGGACACACAAAAAGTTGCTGAAGAGGTGCTTGTTCTACTTTATCTTCCTAAAATATTTGATAGCAAGAATGTGGTTGTGGCCTCCGAGATTACTGAAAATGCCCATCAGTTATTGAGGACCAAGACCCATCAGGTTTTTATGTGTTGTTGATAGGTAGACATTCTAAAAACAGACTAAATTACCTGATTATCTGGAATGACTGGCCAGTAGGCAGCTTGGTATAGCTTGTAGACTCCAGAGAAATGGCAAAGCATTATCAGTGTGGTAAGACACTGATTGCAAAAGAGTCTCTATTGGTACAGTACAGTGTACATGTATTACCACAGATTGACTTTATCATATACTTGCTATAACTAGTTTATGGTAAAACATTATACCAATAAAGACTCCTTAGCAATCTGTGTTTTACTTACCATAGCCTGTGGATGATGATAATGCAAAAGCAGCACTGTAATTGGAAACTCTTCAGGCAGTGTTTTGCCTGTACAATAAGCTTTTTCAAGGCAGAATATACCTGAGGAAAGGAGGGATCTGTAAGGGGTCTGACAGAAGGAGAGGTCAGAAGCAGTGGTAGTAGCTGAATTTGATAGTTAATCTGGATTATAATCTTGATTTATCAACTATATTGTTAAAGGTTATAGGTAGTAGGTTGGTAGACAGCAACCACCCAGGAAGGTACTACCGTCCTGCCAAGTGAGTGTAAAACGGAAGCCTGTAATTGTTTTTCATGATGGTAGGATTGCTGGCGTCCATTTTTCTGTCTCATAAACATGCAAGATTTCAGGTATGTCTTGCTACTTCTACTTACACTTAGGTCACACTACACATACATGTACAAGCATATATATACACACCCCTCTGGGTTTTCTAATATTTTCTTACTAGTTCTTGTTCTTGTTGTTTATTTCCTCTTACCTCCATGGGGAAGTGGAACAGAATTCTTCCTCCGTAAGCCATGCGTGTTGTAGGAGGCAACTAAAATGCCGGGAGCAAGGGGGTAGTAACCTCTTCTCCTGTATATATTACTAAATGAAAAAGGAGAAACTTTCGTTTTTCCTTTTGGGCCACCCTGCCTCGGTGGGATACGGCCGGTGTGTTGAAAGAAGAAAGATTGTTAAAGGTTTGGACATTCATAGTTTGCTGGGTATACATTTTGAAGGTGTTCAGTCTCTTAGCCTTGGTTTTAAATTAAAGAAAGCTTTTTTGATGAGGGCTATCTTAAGTTCGTTAATATCTCCTGGTATCACCACCCTGTTGAAAAACAAAACAAAAAAAAAATCACCACCCTGTAGTGTAGTCTCAGACCAGGCCCCCAAAATATTGAAAAGAAATAGAAAAGTAATGCTATTAAGAAACAGATATGTAAAGTGCTTGCTAAATGTGAAAAGAGTCTATTAAGATTTTTTTACGCATCAGTTTGTCTGCCATCTCACTGTACGTTTAAAAGGCAGAAAGAAGATACTAGTAGTCCTGCCAGGCTGATGGGTGCTTTTGTTTCTTTTTGTTCCCTACTTGTTATTTTCTGATGGCTTAATATCTGTTGGTAATACTCCTTGGAATAAAGGATAAAAAAGCACAATACTGTGACTGGAACAATACACAGATAACCTGTACATAGGAGAAAGAAACTTATGATGAAAGTTAATGATCCAAGTCTGACTGAAACATCAGTCATGAGTTTCTTTCTCCTACGTTCAGGTTATTTGTGTATTACTCCTTGGAATAAAATGCTACTTTCTGCTCTTTTCTTGTGTATGCTGCCTCCAACTTTTATTTAGCTATTTTGTATACAGTATTTCTTTTTAATTATATAAATATTTTCTACTTTGTTTTTCCACTAGTATTCCATTCACATGAAGGGTCGTACTGACAAGCTAACTAAAAATGTTTATTTTGACTTATGTAAACATAGTGATGCTGGATATCTTGACCCAGTGGGCCTTTGTTAGAGTAGGCCTATGCATGTGGTGGTTCCTCTTTGTTATTTTTATTATAGGCATTCTGTTTGTCTAAATGTTGTTCACAATACAGGGCCTGCACTCTGAAGGATGAATTGGGATGTGTCAGTTTGGTGGGCTTCAATTGTGATGTTCACATACTTCTGGGAAGGCAGCTATTGAATGAGTGAAGGTGAATGAGTTTCCTTTTTGAGTCACTCTGTCTTGGCAAGAAACAGCTTATATGATTAAAAAGTATATATCGTACCTTTGTATATATTTAACTATCAATAACAACACTGCGCTAGCCAAGGACCCGAACCCATGTTGTACTGGCCTGCCATTGTGAGAGAGAACCACATGACGTCTTAAATCACAGGACCACCCAATCCTACAAGAACCAAGCACACAGCACAGCTGTGTGTTTTTACCTAGGTCCGAGGACCAAAAACACAGCTCTGGGCTGTGTGCTTGGTTCTTGTAGGATTGAGTGGTCCTGTGGCTTAAGGCGTCATGTGGTTCTCACTCACAATGGTGGGCCAGTACAACAAGGGTTCAGGTCCTTGGCTAGCACAGTGTTGTTATTGATCAATACCACTCATTTGTGGTTACAATAATATATTTAACTATCTTGTCAGGCCAGATTTTAATTAAGATGTTTTTGATTAATAATATTGACTTACTATGCATTTTTTAATATATTGTTCTATTTTCAGGGCGTTGTAATAATAGAAGAGCTGGAGAGAGCAAAAGTTGTTTTGGAACGAAGTGACACTTCTTCAGAGTTGAAGGTTGACACACTGCAACACCTGAAGTGCAAGAAGCCAGCAAAGGAAATTCTTATTAAAACACAAATAGGTTAGTCCCTTTATATATGTACATATAAAACAAAGTGAAATTGGAGTCCTGTGAGGATGACTGCATTATCACATTACCTGTGTAGCATGTGGGTTATTTGTTATCATTAAGGTCCATGTGATTTTTTTTTCAGTTATAATATTAGGGAAGTAGACTACTGCCATCCTGACATATGAGTATGAAACAGAAGCCTGCTAAATGTTTTGCATTCTGGCAGGATTACCAGTCTTTTCTGTGTCTTATGCGCATGTAAGCTGGTAGGTTTAATCTTATAAACTTCTGACATTATTCTGCTTACATTTCTCCTAACTTAATTGTTTCTTAATTCATATTCCTGTATTATTTCATTTTACAGACAATGATCCTCAGACCTATTTCAGGTACATTATCTAAAATAGGAGTACAGCCGCTCCTCACTTAAATGTGTATCTCCTCACTTAGCAACGTACTTGTTTACCAACCACTCGGACTTACAACGGGCTCTCTGACCAGTATGCTTACCTCAATAATGTACATTAGAGCTGATTTCCTCTTTTCTTTTTAATACAATATACAGTACACTACTGTATAAACATTCAAAAATATGCCAGAAATGTACAAATGGTACAAAGGTGACATTAAAATAATATCAAAGATGGCTGACACAAACCCACTGCCATTATAGTATGCTCCTCGCTTAGCGATGAATTCGTTCACCAACTTGGTCTTAGGAACTGAACTCCGTTGTTAAGTGAGGAGAGGCTGTACTATGTTAAAACCTACACAGCATTATTACCAATCTTTGCTGAGAGTGGATAAGCATTTTGTTTTTAGAGTTAATGCATTTTTATTTTTAATATATCCTCTTCTTTCAGCAGACCGGCTGTATCCCACTGAGGCAGGGTGGGTCAAAAGAAAAAATGAAAGTTTAACCTTTTAAATTTAGTAATATATACAGGAGAAGGGATTATTTTTAATATATCCTCAGTAATAAATCAGAATTTGGGAATTTTTGTGCTGTAATTATTAATCAAATTAAAAATATCACATGATGTTTGCTGTTATGATTGTCGTACTTGTAATAACAATAATAAATCTTTATGTCTACAAGTACATGGTATACAGGCCTTACTGACATCAATGACTAACTACTGTATAGAAAGCTGCTTGTTATGCAGAGTATTTTGGTTAAATTAGGTCAATTTTGTCCCTAGGATTCAATCCACACCAGTTGGCTAACACCCAGGTACTGCACTTATTTTTTACTGATAGGTGATTACTAGAATATATTTTCATAGTTGTTTTTTCTTTTTTCATTTGAAAATATTAATGTTTTATCTTTCCAAATTCCAGGAAAAACAGTTCACAGGTTGTGTAAGTCCAAGGATACAGATGTTGCAGAAGCAGCAAAGGAAGTTTATAGCTTGTGGAAGGAACATATACTCAGTAAAGTCAACAGATCACTGATAGAGGTCAAATGTGACCCTAAGACAGAAAGTTTTCGCAAGACTGCACGACGAATGTTACTGGATTCTTTAAAGAAAACTGAGGGTGGAGATCAGCAAGAACATAATGAACCACAAAGAGACAAGACAGAAAATGATCAAGAAAAATGTAAATCAAAGAAGGCAGATGAAAAGATGAAACATGGCTGTAGCAAAGACAATTATGACTCCATTGAAGTGCTCGCAGAGTACATAGAGCGAGATGTTTATCAGGCGACTCGGAGACTAGTTAACAATACTTACCGTCGCACCATCAGGAAACTTGTATTTACTCTCAGGCACAAGAGTGATGTGAGATACTCAGTTACTTCATCAGCCTTACCTGTAGCAGAACTTATAAAACAACACCTGAAAAGCTGATCATATTGTAATTTGGTTGAATTTTTTTTTATCTTTAATAGTTGCATGTTATAGGCATTTAGGGTTGTTCATGAACCTGTTGTGTAAAAGCCTTGAATGATAGGATTTTAGACTTATTTATTCAACCTGTTTTTATTTTTTAATTATTTTAGTGTAAATTTTAAACTAATTTTCTGTAAAGTATCAATTAATGACTCCTAGCTTTTTTATTAATGTCTCAGTTACTCTGTATTTATTAACTTGAAAAAATATCAGTTTAACATTTTAATGTAAGAAACCTCATAAATAAGAATATATTTTTGACTACATTTAAATATAAAAAGTGTGTGAATACTGTATTGTCAAAAGTTATTCATATTTTCAAACTATAAATATGTATAAGAAAGCAAGTTTTAATAACCTTTCCACAGAAAAACTTAATAATTTGTAGATCATTGATGTGTGAGTGTGTGCTGAGTCTTAATCTCTGGATCTGCAACAGAAGGAAATACTTGACAAATTGGTTTCTCTCAGGGAAGGTGGTGAAAGACTGATGCAACGAATTAAACCTGACCTTCACTTAATTAGATTGAACCTGATTACCTACAGGTTTAATGTTACAACCTCCTCCCTGAATGTATTAATAATATGTTGACTTTTTTTCAGAAAGAAAGGGTAATCCAAAGAACGAGGCATATTCGTCAATATTAATAATATCTTTATTACTACAAGTACATTTATGAGGTATACAGGCCTAGCTGACATCAGTGACATACTACTATATAGAAAGCTGCTTGTTATGCAGAGCATTTTGGGCAAATTAGGTAAATATTGTCCCATGATGCAACCTGCACTAGTCCACTAACACCCAGGTACCCATTTTACTGATGGGTGAACAGGGACAACAGGTGTCTTTTGGAAAGATGTCCTAATGTTTTCCAGCCATACCGGGGGGACTGACTTCCAGACCTCAGTGAGTGAGCCGAGTGCGCTAGCATAAATCATAAGTATGACCTTTCTACTACCTCCCAATGTTAGCTTCCCTCAGTTTTTCAGTTGTTAATAACCCTCATTGGTTTGATGCATTTTTTGTGAATATAATAATTATCTATCTTTCCAAAGATATATTGACATGACTGTTTACACTGTACTTAATGCTCAGTCAGTCTTCCTCCATTATTATAATGCTTAAAAACAAATGACTACAGTATTTATTGCTTGTGTTCTGTTAAAGCATAGATAATAAAACTAACAATACAGGTAGTGTTCCTATAATGATGTATACATAGAGTTTACCTTAAGTGTATTAAAATAATCTTGAACATCCTGCAGTGTACTGTATTATAGGTAACATCTGAAATTAATGAACCTTTTCCGAGTGCTGTTGGAGTGTGAGCAAGGTAATGTTTATAAAGGATTTTAGGAAAATAGGATAGCCAGACTTGAGAGTCCTGGAGATAGAAAAGGCAGTGCCTGCACTCTGAAGGAGGGGTAGGGATGTTGCAGTAGGATGATAATCTGAATTGTGAAGTCAACACAATTCTGGCAAGACAGTGATTGAATGAATGATGGTGAATGTGTTTCCTTTTTGGTGGGAGAAGGCCAATGAAACAGGAAAAAGGACAATTATAATAAAAATAATGAGTAGCATTTTGTTAAAGACAAGTCACAAATTTAAATATCAAACAAGAAACAATTGAATTTTAAAGCATTTTAAAATGGAGTATTTAATGTTTATTCATTGAAGTAAAGCTGTGTGATTCATACTGATTAAGTGCTTAAGTGTAATAATTATGAAATAATATGGACAGAAAGCAGCTTTTAAGAAATCTTTCGAGTTATAAAAGTGGAGAGAGAGTGAAATTGATACAAAAAAGAAATATCTGCAATTGTTACAAAAAAGAATTGTTTAACAAACATAAAATATACAGGAGAGCCCTGCTTACACAGCGCCTTATTTTCGGTGTTCCACATTCTTCTTGGCTTCAAATTGAGCCATTGTTTATTATGTTCCATCTGCTGGCAATTGTCACCAGTGGGTGGAGCAGTGGCTCAGTTGAAAGCCAATGAAAATGTGAAATACCGATAATAGGTGCTGTGCTGTGCTGTACATGCTGGTTCCTCCTGTACTGTACTAGAGTTCTTTGATAATTGCACAGTTGATGAGGGTGCTCCAATTCCTTGAATCAAGCCTGAATGTCTTCCATTACCCCCAGGCACTGTATGACACCCATAGGTTTAAATGTGTATGACACCTATGGGTTTAAAGTGCTGTATGACACCTATGGTTTTAAAGTGCTGTATGACATCTATGGGTTTAAAGCTCTGTATGACAGTATGACACCTATGGGCTTAGCGCTCAACCATGAAAATAAAAATCCTGTAGGTTTAGCGTTCCCTTGTGAGTATGTTAATATAACTGCACATTTGTTAATTAGGGACCTGGAGTATGCTAATTTATAAGTGCAAATACAGTAGTATTTCAAAGCTTTTTATCTACAGAGTTATGTATAAATGTCAGTAGTATTACTGTGTATATAAATAGGCTCCCTTCTTGCATAACATCACGAGTCCTGCACATGTGTGCCACCAGCTAGAAGCCTCCCTCTCAGTTCAGTGCCAGGCTAGACTGGGTTCTCCTCAAGACTCTTAATTATATTCCTCCAAGACAATCCGTGTGTAGTCCTTACTCCAATATCTCCTCACGAACTCCCACGACATGAAGGTAATTATACAGAGAACAAATTAGACATTTTTTTAAACTTTTGTAAAGTTTTGAAAATTAAAATGATTTTTTTCAGGAAATATTATTTTTATTTTTTGAATTAATAAAGTATTGTTGTTTTTAAAACATAAGGGAAATTATTACAGTCGTGGTAGGGTGGTGGAGCACTAAACCTGTTAGGGCCACAGACCCTTGGAAATGGAAGGCATCCGGGTTTGATCAGAGGAAGGGGAGGGTCATGTTAATTCTTGGTATAATAATCCATCACTAGTATAATGGCACCATGAAGGTAAACACTAGCAGGTGGCAAGGTAACACCAGCTGGTGGCAACGGTAGCAAAGTAACACCAGTGGGTGGCAAACACTAGTGGGTGGCAAGGTAACACTAGTGGGTGCAAGGTAACACTAGTGGGTAGCAAAGTAATGCTAGTGGGTGGCAAAGGTAGCACCAGTGGGTGGCAAGACAATACTAGTGGGTGGCTAGGTAACACTAGTGGGTGGCAAGGTAACACTAGTGGGTGGCTAAGTAACATTAGTGGGTGACAAGGTAACACTAGTGGGTGGCAAGGTAACACTAGTGGGTGGCAAGGTAATACTAGTGGGTGGCAAGGTAACATTAGTGGGTGGTTAGGTAACACTAATGGGTGGTAAGGTGACACTAGTGGGAGGCAAGGTAATACCAGTGAGTGGCAAGGTAACACTAGTGGGAGGCAAGGTAACACTAGTGGATGGCAAGGTAACACTAGTGGGTGGCAAGGTGACACTACTGGGTGGCAAGGTAACACTAGTGGATTGCTATGTAACACTAGTGGGTGGCAAAGGTAACACTAGTGGGTGGCAAAGGTAACACCAGTGGGTGGTAAAGTGACACTAATGGGTGGCTAAGTAACATTGGTGGGTGACGAGGTAACACTAGTGTGTGGCAAGGTAACACTAGTGGGTGGCAAGATAACACTAGTGGGTGGCAAAATAACACTAGTGGGTGGCAAGGAAACACTAGTGAGTGGCTAGGTAACACTAGTGGTTGGCAAGGTAATAATAGTGGGTAGCAAGGTAACACTAGTGGGTGGGAAGATAACACTAGTGGGTGGCTAGGTAAGACTAGTGGGTGGCAAAGTGACACTAGTGGGTGGCTAAGTAACATTAGTGGGTGACGAGGTAACACTAGTGGGTGGCAAGGTAACAGTTGGTGGCAAGGTAACACTAGCGAGTGGCAAAATAATGGAGAGGGAGCATGGACACGGGGGTCGTCCCTCAGTTACTAAAAACAACAGACATAGCCCCACTCCACAAAGGGGGCAGTAAAGCAACAGCAAAGAACTACAGACCAATAGCACTAACATCCCATATCATAAAAATCTTTGAAAGGGTCCTAAGAAGCAAGATCACCACCCATCTAGAAACCCATCAGTTACACAACCCAGGGCAACATGGGTTTAGAACAGGTCGCTCCTGTCTGTCTCAACTATTGGATCACTACAACAAGGTCCTAAATGCACTAGAAGACAAAAAGAATGCAGATGTAATATATACAGACTTTGCAAAAGCCTTCGACAAGTGTGACCATGCGTAATAGCGCACAAAATGCGTGCTAAAGGAATTAACAGGAAAAGTCGGTCGATGGATCTATAATTTCCTCACTAACAGAACACAGAGAGTAGTAGTCAACAGAGTAAAGTCCGAGGCAGCTACGGTGAAAAGCTCTGTTCCACAAGGCACAGTACTCGCTCCCATCTTGTTCCTCATCCTCATATCCGACATAGACAAGGATGTCGCCACAGCACCGTGTCTTCCTTTGCAGATGACACCGAATCTGCATGACAGTGTCTTCCATTGCAGACACTGCAAGGCTCCAGGCGGACATCAACCAAATCTTTCAGTGGGCTGCAGAAAACAATATGAAGTTCAACGATGAGAAATTTCAATTACTCAGATATGGTAAACATGAGGAAATTAAATCTTCATCAGAGTACAAAACAAATTCTGGCAACAAAATAGAGCGAAACACCAACGTCAAAGACCTGGGAGTGATTATGTCGGAGGATCTCACCTTCAAGGACCATAACATTGTATCAATCGCATCTGCTAGAAAAATGACAGGATGGATAATGAGAACCTTCAAAACTAGGGAGGCCAAGCCCATGATGACACTCTTCAGGTCACTTGTTCTATCTAGGCTGGAATATTGCTGCACACTAACAGCACCTTTCAAGGCAGGTGAAATTGCCGACCTAGAAAATGTACAGAGAACTTTCACGGCGCGCATAACGGAGATAAAACACCTCAATTACTGGGAGCGCTTGAGGTTCCTAAACCTGTATTCCCTGGAACGCAGGAGGGAGAGATACATGATTATATACACCTGGAAAATCCTAGAGGGACTAGTACCGAACTTGCACACGAAAATCACTCACTACGAAAGCAAAAGACTTGGCAGACGATGCACCATCCCCCCAATGAAAAGCAGGGGTGTCACTAGCACGTTAAGAGACCATACAATAAGTGTCAGGGGCCCGAGACTGTTCAACTGCCTCCCAGCATACATAAGGGGGATTACCAACAGACCCCTGGCAGTCTTCAAGCTGGCACTGGACAAGCACCTAAAGTCAGTTCCTGATCAGCCGGGCTGTGGCTCGTATGTTGGTTTGCGTGCAGCCAGCAGCAACAGCCTGGTTGATCAG